ATCGGAGCATTCTCAGCAGTAATACGGAGTGGACTTAGCCGATCAGCACCTCATTGGTGATGGGTTCAATGTCATGCGCGTGATTTTGAGTTCGGGGAGATTCCGGGGGAGATTGAACTATGAGATTTAGTAGGCTGGGGAAAGGACTTGGCCGGCGGAAGTTCAGCGCGGGAAAGGGTTCACCCTGCCGCATCCATCCTTCGTCGAACGTTTCTCCGCCATCGGTGGCTCGCGGGGCCCTTAAAACATTCCCTTGAATTTCCCACTTCTCGCTCTCTCTCTCTCTTTCCCCATCTCAATTCCCCCTTCCTCCCTCCCTCCAATTCTTCCTCTCCGATAAATAAAAAAATACAACCCATTGCGATCCTCCACAAATCGCTAACTCACTAAATACACACCCGCCCAACATGGCATCCTCCAACAACACCCAACCTGAAGAACCCATCACCATCCCCCAGGACCGCGATGGCGTCGCCTACCTCTACGGCCACCCCCTCCTTAACTCGCTCTCTCCTCCTCTCCATGCCGCCATCTACAACCACCTCGGACTGAACTGGATTCAGATCCCCCTCTCCAGCGTCTGCGGTACTTCCGCTACCTACCCTCCCCCGTACACACGCTCCCCGCCCATCGACACCTTCCTGTCCTCCATCCGCGCCAACCCTAAATTCGTCGGCTCCTCCGTCACCATGCCCTGGAAGGTCTCCATCATGCCGCACCTGGACGACCTCACCGAAGACGCCCGCCAAGCCGGCGCCTGCAACACCATCTTCCTGCGCGACAATGCCGACGGCTCCCGCTCCTACGTCGGTACCAACACCGACTGCATCGGTATTCGCGAAGCCCTCATCCAGAACACCGCTAACGCGGCCGAGCGGTTCGCTGGCAAGCCTGCCCTCGTTGTCGGTGGTGGTGGTACCGCTCGCTCCGCCATCTATGTCATGCGCAAGTGGCTCGGCGCTAGCAAGATCTACATTGTGAACCGTGATGCTAGTGAGGTGCAGGCCATCATGGAGGAGGATCAGCAGCGCAATCCGTCCGCGGACAAGGCGCCCTTGATTCACGTTACGGATCCCGAGGTTGCGAAGACCCTGGAGAGCCCCGCTGCTATTGTCTCGGGTATCCCCAACTACCCGCCTAAGACCGAGGAGGAGATTCGTGCCAGGAATGCTCTGACGGCGTTGTTGGGCGCCAAGGAGGATGGCAAGCCCAAGGGCGTTATCCTGGAGATGTGCTACCACCCTGTTATTTGGACCGAGATTGCCGAGTTGGCTGATGCCGCCGGGTGGAAGGTTATCGTTGGCTCGGAGGCGCTGCTCTGGCAGGGTCTGGAGCAGGCCAAGCTTTGGACTGGAAAGGATGTGGTGGCTGTTCCTGGCTTGTTGGCTATGGTTAAGGATGTTGTGGCTAAGAATTTGGCTGAGAGGCAGAAGGCTACTCTGTAAAGCTTTCTTCCTTTCGCCTCCTTCTTTATTATACCTCCAACATCCGACATGTTTCATGATGATTCATTCCTGTATAGACTCTCGCATACCCGGTGCATTGCTTGTTATGGAAGACCAAAAATAACGGAACGGGGCTCAGTGAAGAGAGCCCGATGATAGATATGACGTGTGTTTGATTAGGTACATACGCGGATCTGGCTGCTGTATATAGTGCAATATGATGTCTTCATCCCTTTCCTTCTCGTCGCTTCCGTCCTGTATAGTAACTATTATGGATATTCTATCTGTAGTATATAACGGTGTATATCTATAGCCGAGGTGCTCACGCACCCGGCCGGGTATATTCCAGCTGTCGCACGCGCTTCCACACTTCGCGCACAGTGCGCTCCTGCGTCTGGCGTCCGGTCTCTGTCGCCGACGGACCAGCCGGTCTATTACAGTTAGATGCCGTACTAAGCCACAAGGCAGAAAAGGAGTGTCACATACCTAATGGCAAGGTAGAGTCGGCTGCCGAGTCGAACATCTTCAATGGGCGCAGCGTCCGGATCCTCCGGGGGATTGGCGGTTGTGACTAGGCCGCCTGCCTCCAAGAGAATGGCGATACCCGCTGCGACGTCCCTACCCACCACACTCGGATTAGCTAAACAGAACTCTGAGGGATGAAAAGATCCATGGCAAAAAGAACGTACCACTCCCAACAACCACCTTCCCACCAGATATCAAATGACCCCATAGCCGTGTACGCCAAATCTAACGTAGCGCTTCCCAGACTCCTCACTCCGTGCACCATACCTCCCTTGCCACCGCGACTACCCACTTCTGCTGCTAGGTTCACAAAACTCTCAATCTTGCGATACAGGTTCCCGTCGGGGATGTCGCGGCGGTCCTTGCCCCATTCGCAGGATAGAATGCACTTGCTGGGAGCATTGGGCGGCATAGGTGGGATGGTCGGATTGCGGATGAGCGGGAGACGGCGCTTCTCGTTTAGCCATGCGCCGCGGTTCAGACAGGATGAGAAAAGCTGATCCTGGAAAGGAGCGTAGATCACGCCGATGATGGGACGGTGGTTGACGATGAAGCCTATGGAGACGCAGAACATGGGGAAAATATGTGTGAAGTTGACGGTTCCTGGTCAGGTGAGGGGAGTTATTTCGTGTCATGATGGCAGGGAGGGGGTATGGCTATGGCTATTACCATCTAGGGGATCAATGCACCATGTTGGGTGCTCGTCGATCAGGTAGTCGCGCGACTGTCCTTTGGCGTAGGACTCTTCGCCGAGGAACCTGAATGGGTCAGCTGGGGGATGCTTGTGAATTGGGGAATGACTCAGGGACATACTTATGTGTGGGGTATTTGGACTGGATTGCGTTCTTAATAAATACTTCTACTTCTGTGCAGGGCAGTCCATTGGTGAGATGCGAGTCGATAGCAGGCTGAGGACGGGCTAGAGCATACCTTCATCGGTTTGGGTGACAATGTCGACGGCGCTGTCCTTCTCCTCAGCTTCCTGCGTGGCTCCGCCGCCGATGCGCTTCTCAACACTTTCCATCAGAAGTTGACCGGCCTTCCGGCCCAGATCGACCGCAAAGGCGTAGATCTGGTCCAGCTGCTCTTGACTCAGCTCCGCGGCAGCCATTTTTATGGCGGGGTTTGCGATCTTGGGGAGGCGGGATGGTGTGTTGGTCTGCTCTTAGAAGGGAGCAGGGGAGCCACAGAGATGTATAGGTAGCAGGAGGAAGTGGAAGAAAGGAAGATAGAAAGAGCGAGAAAGAGAGGAAGAGGAAGAGGGGAGAAGTGTAAGAGTCAGACACAGAGAGAGAGAGAGAGAGTCATGGAGTCTCTCACCGGAGACGCCGCCGATAACCGCCCGGCCCTTATCGGTGGGGCTGCCCCTCAAACTTTGGATTGCTCTGAACTACTATTTCAGGGCATAGGAGATACATACTGAGCCAAGATAACTTGCCCGGTGTCTTCAACAGCTTCTAAGTAGGGCTCGTACTTCTCGTATTAAGCTCCGGCAAAACTTAACGGAGGAACATGACTTCGCGAATAAGACTGCTAGGAAGTGTGTTTACCAGGCGAGGCCGCAAAAATCAAGAACTAGAACTTCTATCTATCGCATATGATTCTGTCAAAATACTTCCTTTTGTTATGACACTCAGGAGACCATGGATAATTGGCAGGAATAGGCTTGAATATGAAGAGCCAAGTTCTCGCAGGATGTGTGAATGCAATCATGCAAATCTGTAAGCTAGTTTGCCATGAAATATATTAACAGTCTTCAGGCGTTCAAACAGAAGCCAGCAGACAAACAGATCATTGAGAGAACAAGAATCTGCAGATATATGAGAGAGTGCTTCCTTCATTGCTGGTAATGGTTACTGATTGCTGTGAGGAGCAGCCGAGGCTGCTGCAAACGGTTAAGATGGATGATGCGGAGAGAATAGCCAATTCTGGTTGTTCATGAACCACACCTCCCAGGCGCTAACTCTGCCTATTATGATCAGTAGACTCTTTGCGGCTGATTACCCGCAACTGGTTTCACGATGCTGCTTTATCATGAACTGAAGACCTCACCTTCTTGGTTTGACGGTTGGCGACGGATACTTGGCGGCTAAGTGATCTTCCCGCTCCGCTCTTCTACCCCGGATGTCAGGGGAAAGACCCCCAGAAATCGGCCTTTGGCACCACAATGCCACCAATCAATCTCTACCGTAAAGATATATGATCTAGACTCCCTCTCTCAAATGTCCTCTAAGAATTGCTGGCTGTCTCTAGTATCATGGCGGTGGGACGACCCGTGGGATCCATTGAGGGTGGGTCTTGTGGGAGAGGCTGAGCAACGCACGGAGTTCATCCTAATTAGACTCAAAGTACATACGGCGCACATAGTAGGTAGATGAGAGGAAAGTCGCTAGCTATTTTCGCCCCAGCCTTGCTGCTACCCACTAGTGATGTGTATCTCATCCTACGTGGTAGGAAAGTTGTCCGAGCTTCTCTTTCTCAGCTGGCACCATAAATTTGGATATATTTTCGTTCGCTACTAGTATTACAACTGTAAAACAAGCTTACAGCATGAACGTTGCACGCTCGGAGTAGACAAGACTGAAGACTATGCGTCCCGGGAGATGATTCTTGCTTAGGGTTTACAAGGTCCGTCGGCTGCTTTTGGATCAGCCTTGTCATCACAATCCCTGTCCGCTTGACTTAGTCGCCGCCCCTTCAGTGCAACAGTACTTCGGTTCCAGAGAAAATAACGCAGTACTTGGTGCTAGGCTTCCACGGTCGGGGGCCAAATTACCAGTAGTCAACGGATTACACTGGCTTCATGCCCTATACTGGAGGAAACGTGCTGGCCCCCAAGTCCTGCTCATACTCGATGTGCACCTTCAATGCCCTAAAAAGTAGTCGGCGCAATTTTATACCCCGGTAGTTTTTGAAACCGCCCCAGTACTACTGTCCTAGAACTACAATATGAGCTGTCTTGCTAAATTTATATAGGAGATCAATATAATTATATATAGTCCTGTCATGCCCTCCTCAATGCCACCATCACTAGGCAATCATTCATTCAGAATCTCCTCGTTTGTCCGCTATTGCTTTCATTACTCTCACTCTCCTTCAATACTGCACAAGTCCATTCATTACTCTTTATCATTGCAAATATCAATCATTACTTTGTCATTATCAACACATCCATTGTCAAAATGTGGTCCAGACAGATCACTGTGCAAAAGGTCTTTGTTCTAGCTTCTGTGCTCCTGGCATCTGGGGTCTCAGCAGCTGCTATCCCCGCGAGCCTTCCTGACCCGGCATCAGTCTCTGTGGCACCAACCAACACGCAAGTTCCTACCGGTCAAGGGGATGTCAGTCCAGCCTCCATCTCTTACGAAGGTGTCCCAGACTGTCAGGTGAGTGCTAATGACCCCCGTTAACTTCGGTCTTGCTGAAATCTAACCCAATCATCTCCAGTCTTGCCGTGAAGGCGAAGACAATGAACAGACTACCGACGAATCCACAACGCAGGTGAAACGAGAGAGTCAGCATATCGCAGCAAGTATGTGCTATTTTAATCATTGCTCCCTGCTTCTCTAACTATATTCTGGGTTTGCGCTGCTCCGAAGCTAACAAAAACTGAAAACCTTCTTCAGGGACCGAGACCAAACAGCTAACACCCGAGGAGGAAAAGGCCGAGGAGGAAGGAGTTAAAAAATTAAAAGAGGAGGCTTTCGAAAAGTGTCATGGGTCCGCGGGCTGCGAGACATTCTATATCTTACTGCATTTAGGGCAGTAGCTCCGTTGGCAGAGCTGGGTATAATTGGCGCAAGGCTAAGTGGAAGGTGATGAGATGAGATCAGGGTGAGATGGACGTGGTACTTGCTAGTACGTGGAGATTTTCTGTACTTATTATGCTCGGATGATTACTCGAGTGAATACTCGAAGTTGAAACCTGTTTCTTTCTTATTTTCTCGGTCACTAGCGCAGACATCACAGTGTAGTGGAATGACCCAAAATATCGAATATAATACTACTTAGAATATGGCCTAGTCATTATTTACCAGCAAATGGACTAGCTTCACCAACAGGAAATAAATAGATAACATTGGACATGTGTGGTTGAGTGTGTGGCATTCCTTGGCCCCCATCCAAAACCCTTATATATAAATAAGCACTACTACTAAGCGCTGAAAGCTAAGATTGTTAATGCTCCGTCTTTCACCTGGCCAACCTTGGCGTGGCCCCCATTTACTACTAGGAATTACTGGTTAGCAATCGGCCTCAATGTCAATCAACCTGGGCAGCAACGCTCTCCCTGACTCAATTGATCTACTGCAATCGAATAACGCAGGTCAGTAACAGATCAAAAATTCTGAATTATGTTCAACAATGGACTAGTTTTTGTCTATATATGATGAATGCTGGACACTTCGTACTTCTGGGAGTAACCCCAAAGCGACCTGACCTTTGATACCTCTAGCTATCACACTCAACAAGAGTGATCCTTGGATGCATAATAGAACACCTCTTGACATAATATAACCAGCAGAAACCCCGGCCCAAACCCCAAACTCTCCAATCAAGCCTTGATTTCGGCGTACAGTTTCAGCACAAAATCCCGACAATTGTTAAAAAGGGTGTTATAACCCTTCTTATTCATCTTGGCGGCAATCTGTTCCCCATATCTCTCGATCTCCGTGTTGTCCACGCCTGACCTGATCTTACCGAGCACCTCCATTTTAGTCTCGCTCCAATCATACCAGCTGCTGGCACCACGGTCCGTGAACACAATCTTTTTGCCATCGAGCTGAATGTCCCAGCATCCCGAGGAAAACTTGAGATAGGTGACGCTACCTTCTTTATGCTCGGTCACGTAGCCTGCAGCTATCAGGTAATGGTCGGGGACCTTCTTGCCGGCGACTCGAGCCCGTTCACTCCCTAAAGAGATTGTTCAGTCATTTTTACTGCACAATGCACCTGGGATGATAGGATGGCAAGCTGGGGACGGAGAATTGTTGGTACATACTGATTTTGATGGCATAGCCCTGGCCAACTTCTGGTGTTTTCCCGAGGGCTTCCTTGAGCTTCTTGTATTTGGCATCCCCGGTGACCTTTGCAGCCCGTTTCACCTCGGTCGACGGTTGGCGTGTAGTCTTGGATGGAGCAACATCATCATCTGAAGCTCCGCTTAGGGTGTCCTCCTCTCGAAGCTCGGAAGTAATGTCATTCGCATCAATGTCGTCTCGTTCTGTCAGGGACGAGGCTTCGTCACCAGAGGTGGAAGGCTGGTACCCGTGGGGGCCAGTGATAGATTCCGCATCGTCGTCTCGCTCAGTCAGGGAAGGGTCCTCGTCGACGGATCTGGGAGCAGCATTCGGCTGCCCGGAAGCAATAATTTCCCAGATGCTCTTCGGGTTACCGTCTTTATCGCAGGTCTGGGATTGGATCTGTCAGAACTAAACAGCGACAAAAAGAAAATAAGAAAAGAAAAGGAAGAGCATTGGTACTTACCGGACAGGTCACACCTACATTTGGGTCAGAGGTTTGGCTTCCATCCGCTCCAGTTATAGTTTCCCAGATGTACTTCGGGGTACCGTCGTCTCGCTCAGTCAGGGAAGGGTCCCCGTCGACGGATCTGGGAGCAGCATTCGACGGAGAAGAAAGAATTTCCCAGATGCTCTTCGGGTTACCGTCTTTATCGCAGGTCTGGAATTGTATGTGTCAGAACTAAACAGCGACAAAAAGAAAATAAGAAGAGAAAAGGAAGAGCATTGGTACTCACCGGACAGGTCACACCTACTTCTGGGTCGGAGGTTAGGCTTCCATCCGCTCCAGTTGTAGGGACGTGTGTGTTTATCGGAACACCAGCGACAAATGAGGGTGTCGTCAAGTCCGAGTTGATTTCCCTTGGTATAGCAGCTGCTAAGGCACCGGGCGTTAGGAGCAAAGAAGCCAAAGCGAAGGCCTTCTGATTAGTGGTAAGGTTGAACCACATTTTGTTATGAAATAGGCCAACGGCAACGATATAAGAAGATTATGAATAATAACAGTGAAACAAAAGAACGAGTGGCCTAGAGAATGAGCGTGAGGAGGGCAATGGCTGATAGTAAATGAGTGTTATACAGTGGAATGAACGGATGGATGAATGAACAACGAAGAGGAACAAACAACTGGAGTTATATAGATTTGCTGCTCTTCTATGTATCGAGGCACTGCATTGAAAAGATTGGGGCGATTTCGATAGCTACCAGAGTAGTATTGCGCTGCATTGGACCCAGTGACCTATTGAACGAATACCAGGGGCTGTAAAGTCATATTCTCGGCTTAGGGTGGGCCAGATCAACTAGATTTCTATACCTGGACCCTGAACCAACAGATTTAATCTAGATTAAAGAGCCCTACAGGCGTCTAGGACAGCGAGGTCCCATCTAGTATTGGGGGCGGGCAGCTTCAGGGTCCACTTTGCTTCCGAGTTATCACCGGTTCGATAGTTGGAGCTTTTGGTGTCATAAGTTACTATAACTTCTGGAGATAACAGGAATTTAAGTGGTTCATTACTTCGTTGACCGTGGCTAGGAGTACATGTAGATTATCATTTCAATGCAGAACCGATCCACTATAGACTTCAATAAACAATACTAGATAGCAGACATGTTACAGGGTCACGGGGCTTTCCCTTTGTTGCATAGGGATTAAGGATGATCCGCAGGATTCCGATAAATTTTGGCCCCTATTAGGATGGCCTAGCGCCTCAAAAAACTACGTTGACCATTTCTTCAATATGAGGGCATCTCACAACCGTTACTTGGCAGGGGTGCACAGCCCAGTGGTTCTGTGATCCTTCCAAGATGACGTGAGTAAAATCTTGTGGTAAGCTGCTTGATGACCTGTCAATCATCCAGGCATGTGAATGAGAAGCTCCGGCAAGGGCTTAAAGTCGAATTTAGAGGCTGTAGAAGACCTTCTTATGGTCTCTTTACTGCTTGAATGTAGTCCCCATCGCGGGCTACTACTACCCGATATCAGGCCAGCCCTGTCCGTTGCGCCTTGCGAGATCAAGTAGCCGCAATGAACTAAGAAGGTGCTAAGGCGAGGTAGGTACTCTCGGAATCCCAGCTAGGTACACTACTAATAACAAGGCTGAGCCGGTTAGCCGGCAAATAAGACAATATGACTGGTCTGTAGACAGTAAGTGGAATAAATAGGCACTAATTCCTCTAGTAGTCTTCGCAGTGGAGAGGCTCTTGGGTACTAACCTATCTAATTTGTAGCTGCTGACTTCGCCGCCTCAGCCGCCTTGGCCGTAGCCCCCATGTCGCATTGGCCCCATTCATTTATCATTGTCTCTAAGGTGATCCATAAGACTTGCGACTTTGTTGTATGAAGAAAGGAATTCTAGGTTAAACCGCTTCCTCTTCCCCTGAGGGACATTCAGAACAACAGTCATGATGTCCGTCTTGGATAGGGTAGCCTTCAACATACTCTTCAGGGATCAGAAGAAAAGGCTTGATCAATTCCTTCGCACTACCACACCGGGTTAGTCGGTAAATGGCTGGTACTATCGAGGTATGAAATAATGGTGCTGACTAGAGTTGTTCAGATTCTGTGCTTTCACAGCTACATACCTGTCTACTCCAAGAAGAAAGCACCACAGTGACACCACGGGATATCTTTTACACATATAGCATTCAAGGCTCGTCCCAGGAGCAGCCTTGTACGTACTCCTACCCACACGAAAGTCCATCCCAGTGAGCGGGGTAACCCATACTGGACACTAGCTAAGAAGACACTTGGATATTATTCCAGACTGGACGAAAAAGAGCTTTCAAAGTTGCCTTGCTAGGAATCATCCGGATACCACCATCCCGCAGACAGCTATTGATGTCCTCTGGTCTTGCTTCTGCTTCTATGCCTATCACCCGTTCCCACTCATCGGAGCAGACGACAGAAAGCTAGAGCTGCCAGCCTTTGAGCGTGCGCTGATCCTGCTCTCTCTTCAAGGCACAAAGCTTCTCGGGATCGAAGACGACGGCTTCGGTCGTCGCTGGGGGACTTTCCGGGAGAAATGTAACTGCAGAGTTAGGATTAATCGGATCTTTCGAAGCATCGGCCTCGGTAGTTCTCAGCCAACTTCACCTCCACACGCCACTAGTTTCGACACCCTCGTTACCGAAGATGTTATCGATGCTATGCTTACAATATGTCCTTCCCATCCCAAATTGTCTGCAGACCCCGAGAAGCTGACGCCGCTGGCGGAACGCTTACTCGAAGGGAGGACAATCCAGTTTCAGATGAAGGTCAAAGACTTGGCTCATTTACTCTGCCTGATCATGAGACTAAGAGTCTACAGAACGACTTGGGGTCGCGGCTTTCACTACGGTTCCTTGGAAGAGCCTAGCCCAGAGAAGGAAGAACTGGCTAACATCCTGGCCCAATCATTCAGCCATGACCAGGACGAGTCCCTGTCCCCTGACTTGGTTCTCGAGGCTCTGGGCATTTTGGTAATAATGATCTCTTCTGCTATCTTTCTACTATTCTTATTGGTTTGACTAACAATGTCGCTCACATTAGCCAAATCTAGAGCAATGGTTCCATCAGCTTTGGGCAACACTTTTCCAACCTTCCCTGCCCACCGAGTTATCAACTTTAGAGACGGAACCATCCCCAGATTCCATTTGGGATGGACTCCTTCGTGCAGTCTCATTGTTCGTCCCACCGTATGAGGCGCATCAGAGAACCGATTTGCATCGAAAGACTAAGCCGATCGTCTTTTCCAAATGTCATGACTCGACAGACAGGTTTGATCTGGGCGATGTATTACAGCATATTCGTCATGACGATCCGAAGCATCGGTCGCATCTTGTACTTCTCCTGGGACACCAAGGCCAGGACTCGACGAGAGTAGTTGTGGGGGCATTCTTCTCTGGCGATACGCAGTCGCCTGCTGCAAACGAGGAAAGGGAGAGTATCGCCCTTCCGCGCCTTCTCTTCCAGCTTCAGCCAAGCTTCGATCTCTTTCACTTGGGTGGAAAGGGCATCAGGGCTTTAATGCCCGTAAATGAAAGTGACACAGAAAAGACGGACTATCATAATTGCTTGGGGGAACTCGCTCAATCGAAGGTGGGAGTGAGGATTGACCCTGCCACCAGTCACGCTACCTTTTTCCGGGGCAATAATCCGGCCAGGAATCGGGTATCAGGACCGTATGAAAAGGTAACTTCTACTAGGAAGCATGAAGGATGTGATGCCATGAATGGGGATCAGCAGGAACGAGAAACAAGCTTTACGGTGACCCGTCTTGCTATCTTCCATGTGGAAGGCGGGCCAAATTATAATTATGATTGATCCTTGGTGAAATTACTACTATTAGGTTATGATGGTATGGAAGGAAGAATGTGAGCACTCCAAAGCATTATGTCAAGATCGAGAAAGCATTGATTGGTTTTGGAGTCACTGCCGCTTCATAGATAGTAGCGATAAAACCCTGATTCTGAAATCCGACTAGACTGATAATACGATTCACTAGATGCTTCTCCCACGAGTTCTGCTACAAGTCTAGACTGACTGGCTGCTTATCAATCACTTCCCCGAATGTCTCCGTCACGTGCATCCCGAGAGTCGGGGAAATATACAAAGTAGTATTTCCTCTACCAGCTCGCCCATTGCGTCAGAATCAGCGTGGATGATTCAATAATTTCATCTTCCGGATATAATTATTCCCTAATCAATGTACCCCATTGTTCAAATATTTGAGCTTTATGTTTAGAGTTAGAAAAAAATTATAAAAATATTAATTAATTGATTGATTGTTGAAGTAGGCTGAAAAATGATTGACTGACTAATTGCGGGCTTCCGTCATTGACGCCATTCCCCGACCAGCTAATCATCAATCCGTCTTCCTCTCCCTCAGCTTTTTTTTCTTACTTGAGAGCCCCTCCTCCGCCCCGTTCCTCCGACCTTTAAGTTCCCTTGCCTGCCAGTGGCTGTTGTTCTCCCCTCATCAGCACTCCATGCTCTCCTGCCCCTCTCTCCGTCCTCGTCCCGCCCAGGCTCTTAAGAACCGGCTTCTTCTCTCCCCAACTTCTAGCATTCGCGCCCGCTCCTCTCCTATCGTCGCGACACCTTTGCTCCAGGGTAAAGGCATTGCTACAGCCACCCCGTCCACCATTCTTCCCCGACAAAGCACTCTGGCACTCCGCTCCTCCTCTTCGGTCGCATCCCGTCTATCTACTGTCGCTAGACATTTCTCATCCTCCTCCTCGGCTGCTGACGCAAACAACATGGCCCCCACTGAGGTCAAGCAATATGACTACATCGTCATCGGTGGTGGTAGCGGTGGTAGCGGTAGCGGACGCAGAGCTGCCGGCTGGTATGGCGCAAAGACCTTGATCGTGGAAAGTGGTCGCTCCGGAGGTACCTGTGTCAATGTCGGGTAAGATGCTTTCTTTCTTTCTTTCTTTCCCCCTACTATTTGAGACCATCTGGTCGTTAACGCAGTATCATCCCTGCAGCTGTGTCCCCAAGAAGATGACTTGGAACTTCGCCTCCATCAACGAGACTCTCCACGTCGCCAAGCACTACGGCTACGACGTCTCCGAGAATGTTGACAAGAACTACCGCCACTTCAAGGAAATCCGCGACTCCACTATCAAGCGGTTGAACGGAATCTACGAGCGCAACTGGGGCCGCGAGGGCATTGATCTTGTCCACGGCCGCGCCGGTTTCGTCGAGCCCAAGACCATCGAGGTGACGCTCGAGGACGGCTCCAAGGCACGGTACTCGGCCCCTCACATTCTCATTGCGGTCGGTGGACGGCCCAGCATCCCGGAAATCAAGGGCGCTGAGCACGGTATCACCAGCGATGGCTTCTTCGAGATCGAGGAATTGCCGCCCAAGATTGCCGTTGTCGGTGCGGGATACATTGCGGTGGAGTTGGCCGGTGTCATGGGCGCCGTCGGATGTGAGACGCACATGTTCATCCGTGGCGAGACGTTCCTGCGCAAGTTCGACCCCATGATCCAGAAGACTATGACGGAGCGCTACGAGGCCTCTGGCATCCACATCCACAAGAAGCACCCTGGTCTTAAGGAGGTGCAGCTCATCCGCGATGGCAAGGGCAAGGACAAGCTGCTCAAGCTTATCTCCAACGACGGTTCGGAAATGGAGGTCAACGAGCTCCTCTGGGCCGTTGGTCGCTTGCCCGAGGTTGAGGACCTGAACCTCGATGTCCCTGGCGTTAAGCTGAACAAGTCCGGCCACATCGAAGTCGATGAATACCAGAACACCAGTGTCGACGGTGTCTATGCTCTGGGTGATGTGACTGGTCACGCCGAGTTGACTCCTGGTATGTTTTCCCCCTCCATGCTGTCCCCTGCTCTCCCTTTTCGTATCATGGCCAAACTAATACCAAACCAGTTGCCATTGCCGCCGGACGCCAACTCGGCAACCGTCTCTTCGGCCCTGACGAAGTCCGTGACTCCAAGCTTTCCTATGACAACATCCCCACGGTGGTCTTCTCTCACCCCGAGGTCGGTACCGTGGGTCTCACCGAGCCCGAAGCCCGTGAGCGCTACGGCGATGACCAAATCAAGATTTACCACACTCGGTTCACGGCCATGTACTACGACGTGATGCCGGCTGAGGAGAAGAAGAAGAACCCGACCGAGTTCAAGCTGGTCTGTGCCGGTCCGGAGGAGAAGGTTGTTGGCTTGCACATCCTGGGTCTGGGAGTGGGCGAGATGCTCCAGGGTTTCGGCGTCGCTGTGAAGATGGGCGCTACAAAGAAGGACTTTGACAGCTGTGTGGCTATTCATCCTACCAGTGCTGAGGAATTGGTTACATTGCGGTAGACTAGATGGGGTGTACACTAAACTCTTTTTATAGGTTATGTTCAGATGTATAGAGTATATACAGATACGATGAGACTAGAACTGTTCTTATGACATCAGTAATATTTAGTACGAATCATGATTGTTTTCGTATTACTATCAATAGCAGTGTCTGACCATCCTCTTGATCACCTCTCCATCCATCAACTTGGCATGGCTACTATATACCTGTATCAGGACTAGCGGCCCCCCGGAGAAGGAATTGACCCGCTCCGACCACGTTACCACCAGCCGGCCAATTAGAGTCCCAAGCGGGGCTTGTCGGCAGTGCTCGGGGCCAGTTCTGGAAGCCGAGGCAGTAGATAAGACAAGGGAAGCGCGCATCGGCCTGCATATGCACTCCGTCCCGCCTGCACCTCGCTCTATTCTCATCTCCCCCAAACCCCCGATGAACGTTCAAGGTGGCAGTCGCAAAAGAAAGAGAATGTCCAAACTATCCCATCAACTCAAGGCGCTGATCAACGCCCCGGCAGCGCGCCCCAACACTGTCCCCGCGCCGTCAAACATCCAATCTATATACAGGAAGATCCAACAAGGCGCGCAGTCCCAGAACCTCTCCCAATCATCATGGCTAGCTCTATCGGTCGGTGTTCTCTTCCCAATTCCTCTTCTAGCAGCAGCAGCAGCAGTAGCTAACCTCTCCTCTACCCCCAAATAGACAGCCACCACGATGACAATGAACTCCCCCGAATCCCTAACAGAGCTGTACCAACTCGCCAGCACCTCCCAATCCGCCAAAGAAAGCCTAGCGACAGCAGAATTCATGCGTGAAGTCGGCCTGAAATGCATCAGTTTTAACGGCATCCCGCGGACCATCAACTGCCTCAACGCCTTCAAAGCCAGTCTCCCCGAATCGATCAGTTCGCAACTATCACAAACACCCACCCGCACACCCAACCCCGAGAATATTCAGGAAATATGTACGAGGGGTCAGAACCTCTGGGACTCCATCTACCGTCCCTTCGAGAAAAAGCTATACAATAAGCTGGCGGACTCGCACCCGGACTTACCTGTTCATATTCTGAACGCGAACTATGGGGCGCTGTTGTCTGACCCGACAAGGACTACCGGGGCGAGTGTGGGCAGATTGGCGACGTCGGTTGTTGCGATCGCTTGTTTGAGAGCGCAGACTGGCGTTGGTCCGCAGGTGACGTCACATGTGTTTGGGCTGAGGAAGGCGGTTGAGGATGGGACGTGGGTGGCTGATGTGGAAGAGGAAGAGGGTGCGAAGTGGTTGGCTAGTGATGAGGGGAATACCTGGATTATACGCAGTGTGGATAGTATTGTTGAGAGCATTGGTGAGGGGTTGGGATCGAATTTTGCACCTGCTAGATCGGCGAAGATATAGATGGTATATACTCGTGTATTATAGAAGGAACCAATGTCACTGCATCCTAGATGAATATATGAAAGAAAAGAGTTAAAGGGCAACACCCTGGAGGTACTCTTCAGAGATGGCAACTACTTCATTCAATAGTTATTACCTTGCCATCTGTCAAGTACTATATTTATGATGGCAGCCAAGTACCTCCGAATCCAGAGTCACTTCTACGCTGTAGATCACGTTGCCTAACCATTCCACATCGCTAATATTTGATGATAACGCTAACTAGTATTATACATGAAACCATCTAAACTCCACCCTCTACCCTAGTTCGTCCAACCCTTAGGTCCCGCCCAAGTACCCTTAACCAAGGACTGGTAGTACACCCAAGGGAAGAAATGCTTCTTGAGATGGTAGAATGAGCGACGAGGAACAGCCTGGTCAATACCGAACCAGTTACCGAAAGTCTCCTTGGGCTCACCACCATACTTGAACTCGGCAAGCAAGACCTTGCCGTATTCCGTAACCAGGGGGCAAGAGGCATATCCATCATAAACCGCATCAGTCGGCTTGCCCTCCATAGAGCGCAGCAGGTTGTGCACGAGGACAGGGGCCTCGGATGTGATAGCGGCCGCAGTCTTAGAAGTGGGCAAGCTGGAGGCATCACCGGCGGACCAGACGTTAGCGTACTTGGTGTGGCGGGTAGTGCCGGCGTCCACATCGACATAGCCGGCCTCGTTGGCCAGAGCACTGTCCTTGACAAACGCGTGAGGACCCATCTTCGGCACGACGTGCAGGAGATCGAACTGTCTCGTCACCTGCTCCTGGCCATCGGGGCGGGCGAACGTGGCCTTGTTGCCGTCGATGGCGACCAGATCGTGCTGGAAGAGACCTTCAACGCCGCGCTCCTTGCGCAGCGCCTCGAGCGCAGCGCCGTACTTGGCGACGGCGAACATGGAGGGCATGCCGGTAGCGAAGCTGATGTTGATGGGGGAGCTAGCGGGACTGCTGGGGTTGTATAGGCCAGCGCGCTTCCAGTAGTCCAGGGCCATCCAGAGGATCTTCTGCGGGGCACCGGCACACTTGATGACACCGGCGGGTTGGGTGAAGATGGCATTGCCCTTCTGCAGCTTTTGCACGGTGGAGAAGACCTTGTCGCAGGTGTCGTAGCCGTAGATAGAGGAGACTAGGGAATCCGGGTTGGCGAGAGCCTCGGGCAGACCCTTGACGCTGCCGTAGTTGATGTTGATGCCGGGGGCGACGACCAGGTGTTCGTAGTTGACTTTGTCGCCATTGCCCAGGGTGATGGAGTTGTTCTCCGGCAGGAAGGTGCCCACGCTCTGGTTGTAGAA